AAACCGTTGCACAAAATTTCGTCAAACTTGCAGATATTTAGGACACAATGTGCATAGATGTTCATATAACAAGGAAATTACGATTCCTTTATTTTTTTCTGGGAATTTCAGCACTTCGACTTTTTGGGGAGCGTGGGGTATGTTTTCATTCATCGTGCATAAAATTATAAATAACTTTAAATCAAATTGTATTAGGTCTAATAAAGCCAATACACAGTATTTATTTGATAATAATTAATCATAAAGAAATCAATCTGTTTCAGACGTTTTTCTTAAATTATTTTTATGAGACTGTTAATATGCATGTTTTATTACACCCCCCCCTCCTATCACAGGAAAATATCTTCAAATGATGAATGATTCGTAATAATGCATGCTTTATTATAAATTTAATGAAGTTAAACCATGTTATCATAAATTCAATTTGCAACATTTACAGACAAGAGTAATGTTTAGTTTTGAAAAAAATGACTTGCATTTTTTCAATCAACCCCACTGAGCTTTCAACCTTTGATATTTTCCCTGACCAAATAAAATGAGGCCACGTGTGTCCAATCATCTTTTACTGTTGAGTTAGCAATGGATTACATGACTTCTGAGATGCATTTATAATAAAAGTAAAATAGGATAATTCTTTCGACATGTGCACATCCCTGTAACGATAGCAGTATATTCAGGTAAATGTTTTATCACTGCGTTTGACGCTCGACCTGCATGGATTTACATGAATGTATTCCGTGTTAGTGTATTTTCTATATTGCAGCAAATGCATTCAAAAATAATTTAATTCTCTGTTCTATTTTTTTTGTTGAATTCTTACTTTTCAAACATGTATTTGGTCAGTTTATTCAGTTTATGGACTTCTAAAAACTATGCTATCTGAGATGTGTACATGCCGACAGCCAGGCTAGAAAATCACTCAAGTGAAACAATTCTACAAGGCTATATATAGAAGGAACAGGTGGCCAAAAATCTTCGATTAAATATGGCGGAATCGAATAAATGTGGCCGACAAGGGCGAACAGGAATGCAGTAAGTCGTACAAAGATGAAAACTGATGCCTTTTTAAGAGTTCATGTCAGCTTTAACCTCATTTTCTTTCGTTGGTGTTCAACAGTGTTGGACATGCATATCATGTATATCAAAAACAATTGAAAAGAAAGGTATAATAAAACATTTATTGACTGGTTTTTCGGGCATAACGTTTTGTTGACCCTCCAACTAAACTGTCTGCCTGATGCAGACAGTTTAGTTCTTGGTTCTCACAAAACGCATGTTTCCCTCGAACAGTACAATTTATTAAACAAAACTGTTACTGGGAATGGCATTTATAAACATTTTGTTTATTTTGTTTTCTCATCATTTGAAATTTAAAAATTATTTAAAAGTCTTTCAACTCACAAAGTATGGTACAAATTACAAAAACTGCATTTATTTTCATTTAATGTAGCTTAAATGTACCAGTTATTGCAAAAACGGTATAGGTTGCCCATTATTTAAGATGGGAGTCATATATGAACAGAGATAAATGTCAACATAAAAAATCGTAAATGTTTGGTAAACAGTTTTATAAAAATCATGTAAAAACTGGTTGAAATTGCATAAATCTGATGCTGAAACTTCCAAAATTCTTGCTTTTTATAAGTCACTTTTGAATTTTAAATACCAGGGAAACTCTTTTACATTAGAAGTACAATAAAGAATAAAGATGCTTTGGAATGAGTTATTGTCCTTGTCGTTATTTTTAAAGATTGGATAATTTATTAAATAAAGAAAATATATCTCTGTTAAATTCTTTTACTTAACAATATTTATCTTCTCACCTATTGAAAAGCATTCTTCTAAAGATATAGTTTTCTTAGAATTTTTTTTTATTAATAACAGTTTTTGCATAAGCTTATGATATCATACGAGGAAGTAAATGCCTTAAAATGTGTTTAGTCTAAAATCTTTATTTTTCATCAAAAAAAAATTCCTGGGTCTTCAGGTCAACATACATAACGCATCAATAACTCATGGACCGGCCACTATTGCTAGGACGTTCACTTCCTGATCGGTCTACATTTTTACAGCTATTGAGGACTTGGTTCGATTCTCGCTTTTCAAACTAAAGGCGCAATAATAGGTAGTACTAATACCTGTACCAAGGGCCCGGAGCAAGTAAAGGCATGTGTCTTTCAAACAAAGACTTAAATCATCCGAGGTACCCTATCACAGTACAGCTTGGCCCGAAAGTACACCCCCTTTACTGCTCAATTGTCATGGGTACAAAACAACAAGAGGCCCACGGGCCTTATAGGTCACCTGAGTATCATGTAACAACTTTCCAGCGATTGTATTTGGTTGGTGTTTTAAGCCAAAAGCCATGAAATTCACGAATTTTGAAAGAGGCACCATTGCTTATCAAAGAGCAGATTTCAAAGCATTAATTTAGTTTTAGTCAAAGTACCCCCTTGGTACCCCTGACCCAGCAGCCCTGAAATTATCTATTTTGAAAGAGGACCCTTTCTTCATTATAAGGCCAGTATTTTTTTTTTATGTTTAGGTTTAGTTATGAACATGAGAATAAAAAAGTCCCGCAAGCAAAAGGAAATATTTTTTTTTGATAAATCAATTATTAACATTTGTACATTCTTTTTTTATGCTATCCTAATAGGCTCCTTACCACTGGACACATAATGCTTACAAATAGGAAAGTAGAACATTTAATTGCTTATTTCATCATCTGCCAGATTGGGCAAGTTATATAAATTTTGTGATGTTGATCAAAATATATTTTAAAAAATCAATTCTTTAAAAGTCTTTCAATACATCTTCATTTTCTTAATATGTGTTAGGTGAATGTGCAGACATTGTTCTAAAATTTACTTGATGCCTAAAATTATAATTCCTATCATAAAACAGACAACCTCACAGGGAGTATTGCTGAGTAGGGTAAACATTTTTTCAATTAAGTGTAAAATAATTTTTCTGGCTGATACAAATGATACTACATATATGTGTATATTCTTGCCTTTTAATAGTTGAATTTTTTTTTTATTTCTTCACTTCAGGTTATTGTTTATTTCTTCCTCAAATGGACTTCACTTCTCCCATAGTTTTATTCATTACATCTGATGCATAAGCAACCATTTTCTGAAGAATGATGCTTAGACTGAAAGCTATAACAGAGACCTAAACAATGTCCCTGGCAATGTGCAATAGCTACCGCGGGCAGTTTAAAACCTGGGGGAGGAAAATAATTTACAGTTACTTTTGAAACGAATACATAATTATCTCACCAGCATGTCATTGTGCAACAAAGTCGTCAGCATTTTATTTGTCCTTTGAACGGGTGAAACGTTTTGAATGGCACTCTTATCGATGAATTTTACACTAAACCATGCTAAATTCTTGGATCTAGCTTTATTTACCCGCAGTTTCATCTAAAAACCGGAAGTGCGAGTTCGTAAATTTGAAATCTCGATCCCGACTCAAATTTGACATCGGAAAGAAAAAAATTGTTTTATTTTTTTTTAAAAGTTCAAAACCTTGAGCGGAGGGTTTGTAAAACTGATAATAAAATAAATCCTGGCCTTAGATATGTAATTAGATCATTAGCATATTAACCAAGAGCAAAGGATAAGATGTTCAAAGAATTCATACATTTCACTATATAATCATTAGAGCCCCACCCTAAAACAAGAACCCCTGACGCTGGGGCCATAAAATTCACAACTTTGGTAGAGGCACTCTTGCTTATCATAACTATGTACTTAGTTAGTTTATTTAATACCCAGGAGCAGAGAACAAGATTTTCAAAGAATTAATGTATTTTCACTATATAATCAATAGAGCCCCGCCCTAACACCAGAACCCCTGACCCTGGGGCCATAAAATTCACAATTTTGGTAGACGCACTCTTGCTCATCATAACTATGTACTTAGTTAGTTTATTTAATACCCAGGAGCAGAGAAGAAGATTTTCAAAGAAATAATGCATTTTCACTACCTACTTATTTAGCCCCGCCCTAGCACTAGAACCCCTAACCCTGGGACCATGAATTTCACAATTTTGATAGAGGACTCGTAGCTGATTACAATCATGCAAACAGTTTGACTGCTTGATGTCCAGGGGTATAGAAGAAGATTTTTAAAGATTGCACTAATTTTAGTGGTTTTGGCCCCACCCCTCAGGCCCCAGGGGGGCAGGGATCATGAAATTCACAATTTTTGTTCCCCTTCACCCATAGATGCTTTGTACCAAATTTGGTTGAAATTGGTTCAGTGGTTGCAGAGAAGAAGCTGAAAATGTTCAAATGTTAACGCACGACGAACGACGCACGACGAACGACGACGGACGAAAACAGATAGCAATAGGTCACCTGAGTTTACTCAGGTGACCTAAAAATCTGTAGCTCTTTCTTGGTAGATGGTGACAGCTCTATATACCAAATATACTGTTGTAGGTTAGAACTTTATATAATTAGATAAAACCTCACAAGAGTTCTGCTTTTATTTATTTCTTTTATATACTTACACAATACATTCCATAAAAATATGTAATTTATACATGAAAGGAAAAAAAAATTCTTGGTCAATGTGTTACTTAGGTGGACAAATCTGTTAATTTGAAGGAGAAAAACAATCTGGAAAAATGGAAAATGATAAGTTTCATAGATTACTTTTAATTCTTTAAGATGATTCTAGTTTATGATTGTGTATTGCATTCATTTTTACCTTATAAACAAGAAAACAACGAGATTACTTCTTGGTTTCGAAACTGCACAATATGCCAAGTCAATAGTTACTATATCTTTAGATATGCACATACATGTGTTATTATCAATATTTGTAGTACAGATGTACAATAAAGTTTAGAAAAGCATAGTTGTTTATGTTCAAAGATGTAGTTGATCATAGATTGACATATCTTGGATAGCTTCAGAGATCGACAGGTATTCATTTTTCTGCATTGCACCACACTTATCAACTTTAGAAATTCCATCGTATGTCTTACTCTCAAAACCCCTATTTATTTCATTTACATAAACATCTACAGTGTTCTTTGAAGTGTTCTTTTCGCTCAATATATTTGGTGGCAGGTCCTTCTGATTATCCTCTCTTCTAAATACAACAGTTTTGTTGTTATCTACAAAAGAACAATCCAAAAATAATACGTAGAATTATGAAAACAATAATGTTAAACGATATACATGAATTCAAGAGAATGAAGCGATTGCAGAAGTATCTGATTGACAGGCATATGGGTGTAACTAACGTATAGAAGGAATTTCGATGAGATCATATGTAGTTAAGGAATACGATATAACTTAATTTGGGGCAGTTTACGCTTTATAAAACGCGAAAGCGAAGCGGATTAAAAAAAACGTAAGCTGCCCCAAAATATGTTATATCGTACAACATAAGTTGAAATTAGCTTCATTCCTTAACTGAAAAAATACCTGTCGTTCAATTTTTTTTTCATATTTTGTATCTCTCTTATTAAGTATGTCCCACATACCTTAAAACAGATATGTCAATAGGTTTCTAGACTTACTTTTGAGATATTGAGTGACAAATACGAACCCTACAGTGTCTAAGTGAAGTTATGATTCTCCGTGTTTCTAGGCTCATTACTCGGTCGATAATGAATTTTTTCAGCATAGATAAAAAATATGTCAGCGAAAATGTGTCTTTTAAAATATGTCAGAGTATGAATATGGTTAATCTTGAAAAGCAAGATTTTTCTGTCACACAGCATCTGGAGACGGAAAGTTGTGTACTTTTCTTAAACAACTTAAACAACAAAAAAATTATTTGCAAAAAATCCTATCATTCAGTATTTGAAAATTTACGTCGAAATGCAAGTTCGTCGTGTTATTGATTAAGTGTACAAATATCGATTGGTGAAGCTGAGCTTAATATTGTACAGGGCACAGTTAAACAAGACATAAGCATGAAAAAAAGTGTCATATTTACATTTTTCGAGTACGGAAAAACCAAACTATGACGTCACACATTTGAGAAATAAGCGAAATAAGACACAACTACAAAATATTTCCGTCAATAACCATGGGAAAATATTTTTTGTGTTCTGTAATTCACAAAATTCCCCACCATGTACTGATTATGACCCGTTTTTATGATATTATACGACCCGTGCTTTACCGTACGCGTGTATAATCTTACTGTACTAAGAGATCAACTATGACGTCAACGACTCGCTGGACGCGCAGTGTAGGGAAATAGAAGAGTGAATCAATCTATTCCGTAATCTGATAATATTTGCAAGAAAGTTTGAATGTTTTTTAAATATTTTATAAAACATGTTGAAATCAAACAAACAGTCATTTTTTTTATAAATACTGTGGTTTCAATCTGTTTTGTACATATTTTATCAGAGATTATGACGTAATTAAACTAAGTCATGTGACCATACATCCTCAACATGAGTGAAAAAATTCTCGAAGGAGGTATTAAACAACAAACAAACATACTATTAGAATTATATGCAGTGCATTGTCCCTGTGAATAAAACATTTAATTTATGGTTTTGTGTGAATAAATGAACATAAAAATTATATAATTTTGACTTTACCGTTTTCCTTTGAATGTATTTTCTGCTTTTTGTAAGCAAGTCTTTTTCTCCTAGAAAGAAGAGGAGATAAATAACAATTCGATTTAAAAACAAAAGCAATAAAAATGATTTTAAAGTAAGAAACGTTACTGTGAAGGGAATGTAATGGCGTACAATTTACGGAATATAATGTGAAATTGATTCGTATAAAATCTGACATACATGTAGTGTGCTGAGGCAGATATGTAAAGTTAGCTTCTAGTTAAGCGCTATATCTACATGATTACAAGAAGTGAATTAGAGTACAGTAGTTTTTAGCAATTAGCTACTTGCAAGTAACCACGACAAATAGGCAAAGTAAGCAACTTGTTACATCTACTGGCTACTACATGTACTTTCGACCAATCTTAGAAGTCAGTTACAGATGTACTGGTAGTGTTTTACTCACATGCCGAAGCAAGTTACAAATAGCTTTATTCACATCTTATGCCAGTTACTACATGTAGTAGCTAACTTTACCCACTCGTCCTATATCGCAAATCACTACTAGCCAGTTACTAGAAACCAAATAGTGGTAGATACAGTTACTTTTTTACTAGTAGCTAACTTTACCCACTCGTCTTATATAGCAAATTACTACTAGCCAGTTAGTAGAAGCCAAATAGTGGTAGATACAGTTACTTTTTTACTAGTAGCTAACTTTACCCACTCGTCTTATATAGCAAATTACTACTAGCCAGTTAGTAGAAGCCAAATAGTGGTAGTTACAGTTACTATTTTACTAGTAGCTAATAATTTTACCCCACTGTCATATTCAGTAACTACTACTCAGTGACTAGTAGCTACATATAATTTAATATATCTTGTAAAAAAAAAATTCTAACTGCGACTTTTGCTAATTTGGACACAATTTTAAAAAAATTCTTATTTAGATAACAACCATTTCAATTAACTTGTAAAGCTATTTACACATGCACTTACACGACAAGTAACCAGGAAAAAAAACAACTTACATGTAGTATGTTATTTAAATTGCCGTAAAAAAAACTCTGACATTTAAAGAGATAACTCTTTACTTATACGATTTTTTTATCCCCTTCAAATAAATTCAAGCATTACCTGTTATATATTACAATAGCGAAGACAATACCAAAAACAAGAATAACAACAGAAGATCCAACACCTGCTCCAAGACCGACTGAAGTAGGATACAATGCGTCACTGCTATCTAGATCTGAAGTATACATACATAAATGGCATCCATTGAATGTTTTGTTACTAGATCTGACATTAAGTATACAAATGAGATCATTTTTTAAATAATTTATTCTGACAAGTGAAACAGTTATTTAATATATTTATTTACAAACATTTGATTGCAGTCATTGAAAACTATTTCTTACCTGTACATTTATCTCCTTTCCATCCATTTGCACAACTACAGTTTCCATTTATCCGTGCACAGCTCTTAGAAAGACATCCTGATCCACAATTTTCGTGACAATTTGTGCCAAACTTTCCTGCTACACAGCCATTATCACAATACCCTGTTACTATGTTACATCCTTTATAACAACCGGGGTTACAATGTTCATTGCAAGCCTCCTTGAAGAATCCCGTTTCACATCCATTGGTGCATGTTCCTGTGACATTATTGCACAGCTGTCCTTTGCAGTTGATACTGCACTTCTCAGAACAATTACGGCCAATGCCTGAATCATCGCATTCTGAAGTTATTAAAATTCATGTATGTTTTTTTTTCATTTGTTATACTTGGGTTGGTTGATATTACACTTATATAATTTAAAGGGGAATATCAAATCAAAATGAAACAATTATGATCAGAAACTGTGGCAAGAAATAAATTGAAATTGAAAAAGGTGTTCCACGAATATCATTACTATCTCGCAGATTTTAAAACAATATCGCTTCAATGTTGCATACAACAAAGTGAACATCCTATTACAGTAAGATTTATGTGAAACCTAAAGACACTTACTGTTACAAAATTCTCCTGTCCAGTTTGATTTACATCCATTATAGCATTCTCCAGTATGGAAATCGCAAGTATTAAATTGACAAAATGAACTGCACGTCTGATTACAAAATGGACCATAGTAGCCATTTATACATCCAGTGCAAGCACCAGAAGATCGATTACAGCTCTGCGGATTACATTGCGAACTACACAGATGATCACATTTGGGTCCATAATAAAGTTCTTTGCATCCGTTGGTGCAATGTCCGGAAAATGAATCACATGATCTATTTTGGTAATTGGCACTACATGCTACAAATTTAAAAAATAAAGTTTATTGTAATCATTTATACCTTACATTACGATTGAACTAATTTTCGTTTGAATGGATACTTATTAAACAAGTAGGTTTGTTTCTATTCACTTACAGCATGAACCATCAATGATACTGCAAGGGACACATTTACAATCTTCGCACAACTCTCCAAATTTTCCCACGCTGCAACCTGCAGATAATGCATGCTACATTGATCAAAATGTTTCAACCAAGTATAAAAAAAAAAAAATAGAACACACGCACTGCATTTATCATTTTCTAACGTTTAACTGACCGTTTTTTCCAAAAGAAGTTGTGATGTAAAATAATAATGAAAAAGTTAAGGGTTTTTGGAGAGGCATCGGCTAAAAGAATATATGAATTTGAAATTTTTTACCTCAGATGAATAGGAGTTCGTCTATGCAATAAGATGTTGAGATACAGAAATTCATTACAAAAGCTTAAAGACTTCTAGAGATATCCTCAGATAATGAAAGGGTAAGACCGAAAAAAAATAGTGAGACAGACGAAGGGCAGACCAAAAACAATACATGTGTATTCATCACAAGCGGATGACAATTACCATAAACCTCTATTTCACATATTTCTAAAATAGCCCCTTCTATTGGATTATCTTCTGGAGCGTCATAGGAAGTTCCCACAATGATGTATCTCGCTGTGTGCTTACAGGGAATGTCTATCACAGCCGGAGGTACATCCGGTTCTTCTGTTTCGTCCTTGTGACAGCGTATTCTTTGTGATGTTGAAGGCACACTTGCTGAAGAGTTAGACACGTCTAAGTAGAATTGCCGAAAACGATAAGGAGGCCAATTTACTAAAATAATATCAAATGATCAAGCAATATCTTCCTGCGATATATCTCAAAAATATTAATGATAAAAGTTAACACCAAGACAAAATTAATTATTTACCCGTTAACTTTGAATACAAAGGAGTCTAGTGCAAAACTTAATAAGCGTCGTGTTTGCATCTAATCCAAAGAACTAATAAGAGGCATTATATTTCATTCCTAAAAATATCTTACAACTGAAAAAAAAATTAAGCGCAAGAGAGTCATTTTTTTAAAGTTAGGTCATAAACAGTCTCCCTTCAAGCTAAATAACTCAGATACAGTAAGGAATAAAGGAAAGTAAGTAATATTTCATATCTTTTGGAACGTGGAACTCGAAGCACTTCATCACGATTTTAAAAAAAAGAATGATACAAAATTTTACGTTTTGTTATTTCATCAGGATTATGGATATTAAAGAATTAAGAGCCTACGAACGTGTGTAAACTACAGTAGGACACAGTGATACATTTACAAGGGAGAACATTTTATTCCTTTATATTAAGGGAAGAATTGTTCAGATTAATGCCATTCATGCAACAACAGGCAGGCGATATAAATCCGAATACAATATAACGAAGAACTTCATGGTCTTTCACGTAAGTAAACATGTACCAAACTGAAGAACATCCCGACACTCTATTCATGTACTTTTTATGTTGTTATTATATTCCCGCTCCTAAAGAGGTACCTTGCATTTATGTATGTGTTCCTTTCTGTCTGTCTGTTCGTCCATGTGTCTGTCCGTAACAAAATTTTGGTCGCATTTTTCTCAGCAATACAACTTATCGCAGATGCTTGAAATTTTAGCAGATTTTATGCTAATGCAAGCTATATGATGGGATCAATTTTCCAAAGCTAATATGAACTTTCTGTTAATCTCTGCAACTGTTCATTCCATACATAACATTGTTGCAGTAGTTTTCTCAGAAACTATTCATCGCAGATGTTTGAACCTTAACACTTTCTTTGTCGAAGCATTCCATATGTTCTTATTACTAGTACATGATAAAATAATTCTTATCTTTCTGATTGGCTGAGATCCAACTATCTGGAAGAAATACCACGTTGTTTTTACCTTCAAGGTTAATACAAGGATTTATTTCATCTACATTGATCTAAAAATAGATCGGGAAATTCCAAATTGATACAAACTGTTTTGGAAAACTATTTAAACGGCTTTTACTTTTTTGCATGTGAACAAAACATCAGCGAATGTATATTTTCGGGTTAGGGTGGTTAGAGGGGATGCAGGCACCCCTTCCGACACTTTTCCTGAACAACAATTTTTACTTTTTTTTCGGCTGTCAGTTTCTCTGATAATACTCCTTTTCTTATCTATCCTCTTAAAAGACTGACATTATATCTTTTTTTTTCATGGCAACTAAAATAGATCAAAAACATTTCCAATCGATACGACTGGTAAGGTTAATTTACCTTTAAATTCTGCTTCTCTTTTGTACCTTGCTAAGATCTAGTTAAATGATTTGAGCTGTACATATCATGTACATACATTTTCGGTGAATCATATAATAAAACAATCACTACTGTTTTTTGGGTCAATACATCTTCGAAGTAAAATCTTCACCTCACCCTTCGGGCTCTGTGAATATTGTACTCTTCAGATGGCTAAATCATTGTATTGACCTAAAACAAAAACAGCAATAATTGTATATTAGCAACTTCTCATCATAGATGCTTGCAAGTTTAGCACATTCTTTGCTGAGGCATGCCATATGGTGGGTTTTATTCTTATTCAAATCCGATGTCTAGATCTGTCCGTACCATACATAACAAATTTTCCTCGCAGTTTTCTCATCAGCTACCTATCTTACTTAATTTCAGCAATATAAATTTGTGTTTGATATTTTACACACAACAAGAAAAATAACCCATTTGGAATAGTTAGATGCATGAGGTATTCGCGATTTAGTTTGTGCGGGTGCTTAATACCCAGAAGCAAAGAATGACATTTTCAAAAAATTAATCCATTTTCACTATATAATTAATAGAGCCCCGCCCTAACACCAGAACCCCTGATCCTGGGGCCATAAAATTCACAATTTTATAAGAGGCACTCTTATTCAACATAACTATGTACTTGTTTAGTTTATTCAATACCCAGAATCAGAGAAGAAGATTTTCAAAGAATTAATGCATTTTCACTATTTAATCATTAAAGTTCCACCCTAACATCAGAACCCCTGACCCTGGGGTCTAAAACTAGCAATTTTAGAAGAGGCACACTTGCTCATCATAACTATATACTAAATTACTTAATACTCAGGATCAGAGAAGAAGATTTTCAAAGAATTCATACATTTTCACTACCCCCCCCCCCTCCCTATCACCAGAACCAATGACCCTGGGGCCCTAGAGTTCATGATTTTGGTAGAAGAAACAACATTTTGACTGCGATGTCCAAGAGTTAAGAAGAAGATTTCTCAAAGATTGCACTAATTTTAGTGGTTTTGCCCCCCCCCCAAGGCCCCAGGAAGGGGGGGGGGGCAGGGACCATGGAATTCACAATTTTTGTTCCCCTTTACCCACAGTTGTTATATGCCAAAACTGTTTGAATTTGGTTCAGTAGTTTCAGAGAAGAAGCTGAAAATGTTCAAATGTTAACGCACGACGAACATCACGGACGAAAACGGATAGCAATAGGTCACCTGAGTTTACTCAGGTTACCTAAAATAAATAACGTCATGTGACTGGGTTTTGAAGTAGATCATAGGCTTTCAGGTATTGTATACGAGTACGTTTGACGTATGAATTTATAACACAGCAATAAAATTTGGCAACTGCAAGAGATTATGTTTTGATTAATAAGGAGAAAGACATCGGTAAGTATTTTGCTCACATTTACTGTCATTTCTGTAGTATATTTTCACAGATTTCAAACTAAAATAATCTTTAAGATCCACTTGAAACCAAGCTTCCGGGAATCCTGAACCAGTGTGTGAACATATCGTGTAATCTGTGCCAGTCCTGCCATCCACTGCAAATTCTGCAGAAAACCATTCATGCATTGAGCTTAACGAAGCTGTTGTTGTACTTCTCCTGCATAAGTTCTCTGAATACAAAATGTAATTATTTGATGTAGAATAAATAATTATATATTTAGCATCTGAAAATTATAACTAAAATACTTATAAAGTGAAAACAGATCATGTCAGAGGAGCTGATTTAAAAGGATTGAGTCATATATTGAAGTTTTTCAAAATATGTACACTGTACATTGATTGTCGTGCATATTATCTTAGTAATTCAAGAGTTTTTATGTTTTTTGTCTGATAAGAAAACCACTTAGTTTATTACTCATAAATGGATTGTACTTGAAACTATTTATTTTCATTTCGCCAATACAATACCAAGTCGTCTGTACACTGCATCTAACTTCTAAATGTTTAATGAACTTTTTTTAAGTTATAAAAAAATGTCTACAATAACTGATTTCTTTAATTTGTAGTTAATGATGCATATTTTAGTACGTTGTTGCGTAAATTTTGTGAAAGTATCCCATCAGATTTTAAAGCAAAGTAATAATGACATAATAAACCCCAAAAATAAAAATTCACATAAAATAATTACTATGGAATAAGAAAACCTCTGGCTTTGATTTATGTAAAACATCGTTTCCTCATGGATACAATGAACCTCTTCATAAAGGTTTGACTATCTGCCGCCGCACGTGTTGTATCTTTCTAGATCATGAAACTGTGTGGAAGAAGAGGGGGGGGGGCGTTGACATTCCTATTAAAAATCCTACATGTGGTAAATGGGGGTCAGATCCGGTGATTGGGCAAGCCAGGGTATCACACAGATGCCTTTTGGTCAACACTTAAACCTCCTTGGGCATCTCGAACGTACGTAACCTCTTCAAGAAGGATTCAGACGGTGTAAGGTGATGTTAAATTGCAATTAGTATACTATTCTGTTGCCATTTTCTAGTAATTTTTGTTTAATCTGTTTATAAAGTGGTTCAGGACCATGCAACAATCTTTATTCTTGTTTTGGCACGCAACAGTGGATTTCAGATGGACCGGAGATCAAGATCCCTTCCGGTTGGATTAAATATTAGTCCGAGGCTTTCAAATTGTTGTAAGTTGTTGATGAAAATAATGCAGAAACAATAAAAAAAAAATGTTTGATTTGCTTTCTATGCTGGTTATTTATTCTAAAAGGTAATATCAAGGGCAAATAAGCACTAAAATAAAAGTGAGTATGACTTGTTGTAGGGTCAATCCGGATACCAAACTTTTAATGGCTTTAATCCCTCTCTTAATGGTCAGTTTAGTCAGGTTTTATGTTTCTTATTTAACCAGTTGTTTAGGATCGGTAATAACCACAAAAAGTAGGTGATTACTAAAAGCATGTGCCGCTAAGTACCACTTTATTGTTTTTAAGTTTCGTCACAGGACTTTGATTTTTGTCGATGATACTTGGACTTATTAAATTTAATTAATTTAGGAGAAACTATATCTATGCAGTTCTTTGTTCTCACATAAAAAAATAGTATCCAATATACTTCATAAAAGAAACACGTTAAAACGAAACATATTAACATTGTTACTTGCTATTAAGTTTAATATTCATGAGTCAATACAAATCATATTACGAACATGTAACAACTTAATAGTATTTGGATAATTCAACACTATTCCATTCACTAGTCAAAAAGAAAAACAATCTACTGTTTGAAATTTTTATCATTATAGAAGGGAATACATACTCTGATTATTACATCATAAAGTCAAAATTGAATACAGAAAAAAATATCATTTCTATACATACCAAAACAGAAGATGGACATGAAGAAATTAATCAAGATGACAAGCGAAATGAATGAAACAGCCATTTTAGATATAAGGAAACTAAATGCATACAGGACGTAAATGAAAACATTTCTATGAAATGAAAGACACACCTTAAAAAGAAATATTGTTTACACATACCAATTAAATATCGTAATCGTAGCTCCATGAATTTTCAAGTGAATAGTGCAGGTCTTGCGTATATGGATGAGACTAGTGGCGAATACAAGTCTAAATTGGTAACCCTTCACTGGTAAATGATATTTAAATGAGTAAACAATTCTTGAACTTGATAAAAACAACACAGAATCAACCCGATGATACAATAGTTTTCTCCATGTCTGCCTATCAATCTGTCTGTCACAGTTTTCCGCCTTGGTATTCACTTGAAATAATGTTTTCAAACTTCACAGCGACGATCAAATTTCAATTCATGAGAACTGTAAGGGTTTCTACATTGGCACTCTATGTTTCTTAAACATGATTTTGAAAACATCCTGGCCAACTACATAAGGAATGATTTTTTATCATCATTCCTATGTATTTCTTTCATATTCTTTCTTATTCTATGAATTAAAATATAATAATTCAAAAGCATTCAAAGCAAAAGTAACTTTTATATTTGTAAAATTGAATAGTTACGTAAGATCTTTACATCATGATAAGACATTTAGTTTAACCTTTAATCGTTTAAATAAAGATTTTCTTGTGCTTAATTTTTCCTTCAATACAACACGTCAAAGTTTAAAGACTATTTTATAATAAGTGAGAAATGTGTATCTATTTCTCTCAAGTAAGAAATCTTTCATGTCTGCATATTACTAAATTTGACTTCTGATGAACAAAGCAGCAAGTACAAGAGTTGTGTTAAACATATCATATATGTAACAATAAACTATAATTACGCGGAAATTTATCCACTATGTGCCAAACTGAAAGTCATTTTTTAGAAGTAATCTGATATTTTCAATACCAATGATCAAATATGTGCAAATCATAACCATTTATATTTTCTCCAATATGGCAAATAATATTCGAAATATTACAGGAACAGATGTCTTGGAAGTAGAAAAGTATGATTAGGATAATATTGAGTTTTCTTACTTGCAAAAATGTAATATTGTAGTCTGCATTTGTTAAAACAAAGTTTCGGGGTGTACGGTATATAGTTTTTCTGTCTGTCTGTCTGTTTGTCCACAAAAACTTTAACCCTGCCCATAAATTTGATTTAGATGAGCTATGACTTCATTTATCACATGTTTATTCCTTGTGACAAGACATTTATTTGGGTAACACCAAATTTGACATTTTGACCTTGAAGTTTGACCGACTTTTACACAAAAATTCTATTTGGCATATCTTTTGAACGGGACATTTATACTTTAAATATGCATTCTTTGTGGAAAGACCTTTCATAGAATACCAACAACCCTGACCTTGGAGATTTCCGTACTGATGAAAAACTTTACCCTTGGCCGTAACTTTTGAACGGTAAGGAATAGGGCCCCATTCTTCATATCCTTATGAGAAGACCCTTCATTAGATATCAACAAATTTGACCCTTTGACCTTGGAGTTTGACCTACTTTTAAAAAGAAAACTTTGACCATAACTGATTAATCGTTAAGGCTAGTGCTTTCATACTTAACTTATTTAATTTCTGTGACAAGACCTTTCATTTGATAGCAAAAATTTGAGACATTGACCTTGGGGGTTGACCTACTTTTTAAAACTTTTAACCTTGGTCATAACTTTTGAAGGGAGGGCTAGGGCGTTCATACTTCACATATGCACTCTTTGTGCCAAAACCTTTCATTGGATACCAACTAACTTGATCTTTTGACCTTGAACTTGGAGATTTCCGTACTTATGTGAAAACTTTTAATTTGGCTTACTTTCATATTTCACAATTGCTTTTCTTGTGAGGATACCCTACTTTTGGTATTAAGATTTGCATTTAAGAAAAGTTTAATGTTCGCTATGTTGACATATGTTGACATCAGGGTTTCACAAACAGATTTTGTTAATGTTTTGCAACGCGTATACATATTTAATGCTGCGACGCTGTAATTTTAAATACATTTTTTTCAAAAGGAATATGCATTTCAAACATTAAAATTTAATTCGCATGATTTTGTTTTCTGTTTCTAAACAGAAAAATTACATATATTTATAGTTTTTGTAGTAAGGTTCCTTCTGAAAACAAAGAGAACGATAAAGGAGTTTGAACTTTCTATTCAATAATGTGTTTTTGTAGACATTTTTCACACTGAACTGTCTACTTTTTTTCATTTTCTAAATCATAATAAAGAGCAAAAAGCGGGTGTGACAAATTGACAGGAAAAGCTTACTTTTCCATGACACATGTAGACATTTCCTTACAGGTTTTCTCATAATTTGTTTAGTTTAAAACTTTAAGTGTGTTTTGTCAGATTCATTCATTTTTCATCGGGAAAAAATCAATGAGCCTTTAGGTCGACAGGCATAAGGCCATTCCAAGTTTTTTCTCTGTTTAGCGTCCACCCATCTTTCAAAAACCTACCTACCTATTCGCAAAAAACACACAAGCCAAACTATAAAACACAAGCTTAAAAGTTATTAAAAATGACGTCCTTCAAATGATTTGATCTAACTAAATTTCTTTAATAGAAAAAACATCTATTTTTAACCAGAAACAAGGGATTAAATGCTTAAAATACACCACCCAATATAACTTACTGTACAGAATTATTTGAAGAAATTTACAAAATTAAAAAGTTTCGACTAAATTTATAAATTTAAGGACTCCTAATGTTGTTTGTTTTTTTCTTATATGGGGTATCAAAAACCAAGGCGCACGTGGACGCTAAACATAGAAAAAACTTGGAATGGCCTAATGCATAAAATATGCATCAATTACTTATTGACAGTTCGCTAATGGTAGGTCACTCACTTCTTGAGCGGGCTATATTTTTGCAGCTATGGGGGACCAAGTTTGATTCTCGCGCCCCTTCAACTAAAGACTCAATAATATATAGGTAGTAGCAATACCTTAACCGAGTGCGGGCAGCTAGATGTACATGTACAAGTTAAAGTCATGTGTCTTTTGAATAAAAACTGAAATCATCCGAGGCCCCCTATCACGACACGGCGTAGCACGAAAACTGCACCCCCTCTATTGCTCAACGGTCTTGAGTATCAAACATAGAATTAAATCCGAGGCTCTTTATTGGTAGATTTTGACATCTCTATATACC